TTCCTGCTGCGTTGTTACTAGCAAAAAATTACAGGACCCATCACTTTTCAGACACAGAGAAAAAGAATTGCACTGGCCAGTTTGTCAAGAACAAATGAAAACCTTCAAAATTGTGATTATATATTCACAAACAAATTTATTGCTTGGGGTTCTTTTTAAGGACAGCTCGGTATCCAGTAGCTTTAGCAGAGAACCGCTGCTGGTGACAGGTGCAGGCTCCTGAAACACACAGGATCACAAGAGTTTATGAAGAGTAAACACACCTGCTTGTTTGGCAGAACAAAGTTCTCCACGTAAGCACATGAAGCACAGTCCAAACGGGGAGCAGTAAAACAAGCACTCTACCCAAGTCCAACAGTGTCACCCAGCACAGTGAGTGATATACAACCAAAACAGTAATTCTAATTTAGCCGCAGGCCTACACGTCATTTTGGTTTAATTGCAAGATGATTTTTCCTTGCTGTGAAAGTCTCTTTTTAGACTACAAACTCTTCTCACCTCCAGGATACCTACTAGGACTGTAAGAATGGAAAGGTAATTCAGACAAGTGAAAAACTGCTTATAGTGTTAGCTGCACAAAATGAAGGGAAGACAACTCAAAACTTGTTACTAAGGAGTACAGTTCTACTAAATAATCTCCACTTTCAAACAAATATAAGCAAGTGATCTTAAAAAAAAAAGAGTCAAAGTACTGCTGCAAAACAAGCTGACACTAGGATGAGTGGTCGTCTCAGCTTTACTTACCTGGGCAGTCAACTTCATCACTCTCGTCCTCGCAGGTGGGCCATCCATCACACTGCCAATTTGAAGGGATGCACTGGATGGTACCACTCCGACAGGCAAACTGCCCAGGGGTGCAGCGGAGCTCTAGGAAAGAAGAAGAACGTTGTGCTTTGTTTGAAGTGTTGTTTATTCTTGCAAGTCTGTACATATACTAATTGTTCGTAAGGTAACATACTGCTGAAGCATAATGGACAAAAGCTCTAGATAACTCAGCTGGTTATAAACTGCTCAGTTTCAGATCAATTCCATGTTTTGAACTGTGTGGCTGTGGCTTTAACAGACTGGAAGGCCAGTTTCCCATGCTTGGGAAATAATTCTACCAGGCATCAGTAGTGAAAACTTCCTGATGAAGATACCAGCTATCACCTCAGCACTACCCATTTACTTCGCGTGGGACTACCTGGTCACTTTTCTCACAACCAAAGTTCAACAAAACTATGCTATTGCTGAGATTATGCAATAAATCAGAATCCTATTTCCATTCCAATCACCGTGTATGCCAGGACCTTCTAGACTTGTGCAGATGTCCAGCCTGATTTAAAGCCATTTCACAGAACAACTTGTAAAATAATTTCTATATCCATGAATCTGTTTTCCCCTTCTAGCTTAAGCCCTTTTGTAGAATTTCTCCATATGAACACATTCTTTACAAAAAACTGTCAATATCTGCAAACATGTAGCTCCTGCTCCTGCAAGAGTACTGCCTACTTGCCATCATTACTGTCAGACCTAATTAGCATTATAAAAAGTACGATTTTTTTCAAAGCTTTTTTATATCAATTCCATCTATCAAATGCCAGAACCTAATAATTCAGCTCCATTTTGTGTCCCTCAAAACACCTTGCAGGGGAAAACATCTGTCTACACAAGTGAACAATTCTAAGCTGGTTTACAGATTGCAGGTCTCCGTTAGCATCCAGAGGCTCACTTTCACACCAGACCACCACCCTTCCTTCTGGATGCTGCTTGTCAATTTTCCAGCTGACGTTTTTGAAGAATTTCCTCTCAGTTTTTGGAAAGTTTCTTCATTCCAGATTGGAATCCTGGATCTACAATCTAAGGAACAAGCACCTTCCTTTTTTCTTAAAAAAACCTAAACAACCCCACACATCCCTGATTCTGAAAGAATCAAGTAGGTAACTTGTGCAGGGAGAAACCTCTAAAAGAAAATTTAAAATCCAGGTATGTATTCTCTCATCCACAGTTTACAACCTAAGAAAAGAAGCTGTAATTGCTACCTTCTTGAAACACACGTCTAAACTACATCAAGACAGTGGTCACATTGAAAGTGTTCAGTCAACATGACCTGGGCATAAGAAAACCGGTCATCATGCACTCTCAATAAAAGCTGTACCCATACACCTACACCACTAATTGATGTAGAATATTGGAAACAGACTTCTAATTTGATATCAGACTAAAATCCAGTTCTAGTACTGGTTTCTCTTCAAAGCACAGACCTGCTCTTCTGGAAGAATAAAAACAGGCACATCCTCTTAGCAATCACCTACTCAGAGCAAACATTCAGGTCACAAAGTGGCTAAGAACTCCCAGAGACCTGCTAGACTACTGCCGCCAACAACAGCTCTTATAGCCAGACAAGAGCGTTTTCACCCATTTTTAGAGTTTTACTCAGTCCAAACAGGTAACAGTGAAAGAGCACAAGGGAAATGTAAAAATAAGTAAGTAAATGTCAGAGAGGCATCTACCAGCTTAGGTCATAATGATTTCCCCCCCTCCCCTGAACAAAAACTGAAGTAATTTACTTAGCCCAAAGAGGAAAGAGTTTCTAATTAGGTGAATAAATGGTTAAAATTCATTTGCTCAGTGTAGCAAGAGAGAAAATGCAAAAAAAAATTATCCTTAAATTAGGGAGAAAAATACCACCACCCAAACTTCTGTTCTTTCTAGTTCCATACATGCTATTACTACTTTATGTACAATTACACATGGCTAGTTCAAATAAAGAATGACTCCATCCCAATATTATGGGTATTAAAAGAATGCCAGTTACGTGCCGTAACGTCATTGCTTCCTGTGTTACAGACACTCCTCTCTGAAGAATGTGGATACATGGAAGCATACAAAACATTTCTATTAAAACACCACTCAAACCAACTGAGCACTCGTTCCCAATGGAAACCATGCATCGCAGAAGCACTAATTATTTCAGACCAAGGAACACGAACTGCTACGCAATTCTATTGCGGAGGAGAAAAAGGTGACGCTAGAAGAAACACTGTGAAATCAAAATCTCCATATTCTGCAAACATCACAAATAACACCTCCTGAGCCTTCTTGACCCAGAACCTGAATCCCCACGTGTTACTGAACCACCTAAGTCATCAGGCAGTTTCTGGAGGAGTTTCATTTATTCTACATGCTGCCGACTGTGGTTCAGCACAAAGAGAAAACGAGATGCAATCTTCTGAGAAATCTAACTGCCTCTCTCACCTGGGCTCAGGGTGGGATTGGCATACCCCATGGCCTCATTGAAGACTGATGCTTAAGATCAGCTCTTTCGGAAACCCCTTGCCATTAATGGGGGGCAGATTTCCACCCAGGCTCCACCATGCGTACCGATGGGCTGTTACCTGGATGACACGGCAGCGGGCAGGCAGCAGCACCCAGCTGAGCCAAGGGGACGGTGCCTGCTGACACCATCCCCTCGGCCCCGCGCACCCCACAGAGCCCCGCGTGCCGGGCTCGAGACTCCCACAGCAGAGCACATCAGCTAGCCAGGGCAGGAGCCTTCAGAGGAACAATACATACATAAAAATAGATGGAAGCCTACAATGAACCTGTGGGATGCTCTGCCAAGGAATGGAAAAATTTGGGAGAGGCGAGGATCCTCAGGATAGGTGCTAGTCTCCACAGTCTTGTTAAGCATTTCATTTCAGTAACCTATTTTTATGTCAAAACGGCAGAAAAATGAAAACATTTCAAGCCTGCCTCTTTACCGCAGAAAAGGCAAGTCACTCTGCCAGCAGCAGAATGGGATTCCTAAGGCACATGAGCCGAAGCAAACAGCAGTACAACATAATGTGACCATCCAGCTTCCCTGAAATGCAAGTAATCACTCGACACACTTTCCAGGAGTGTGGTAAATAAAAACTGTTTCTTCACCCAGATAAGATTTCCAGTTCTTCAAAAGAATAGCAGAGTTCCCATAATACCAGTCCCACTCCTGTCCCTGAAGTCAGACTGTTCACAGGTGTTGATGGTCACTCAGAGCAAGGAAGGATGAGGAAGAAAGCATCTTAAACCATTGCCTCCTAGCAGCACTAAACCACTTATTTCCCACCAGCTGTTCAAGCAGAAACATTTTATATTTTCAATATTGTTAGAAAAATATGTAAAGGCACAGGTCCAGCTCCAAGCGAGCAGCTGTTGCAGCAGAGGCACGGATACGACATCGGCTAACGGCATCAACCGCCGAGAAGCGAAAGAATGGAAATGCAACCACCCCCAGCGTTCGTGTGATGAGTTAAATCAGCGCGTTATGATTCACATGTGAAATTCTAACATAAAAGGCTTCTTTTTTCTTTTTAAGGATCAGATGCAGTCTTTGCTACGCCACAGCACAAGATTTAGTAGACTGAAATCCCATTTTAGAGCAATTAAATTCATCTAGCATCTGCTGGGAAGAAGGGAGGCACGTAAAACATTGGGAATAGCAGCAATTGTCGTTTTTGCACTATACATAATATAAACTTACAAAACATGACAAAGTTCAAGCAGTCAAGAACATGAAAACACTTCAAGCAGCACAGTGTCATTACACAGTCTCTTCACTTTACCATCGCATTCCAAAGCGCTCCTAGAGCGCTAACCTCCAGCCATCCTGCCAACCACCGCATCCTGCTGCAGACAGGAAAACTGCACGGCTTGCCAAAGGCTACAGACAAGGTGAGCCTGTGAGCAGAGGTCGGCGGTGCTGGCCGCACTTTCACAGCGCCGTGTTTCCTGCCCAAAACCCAAGCAACCTGCGTTCACCAGCACATTCCTACCTGAGCGAACACCGTCTTTCGGACACTTAAGACAATGCGCTCTCTGGTAATTCTTCTCCTGTTCTCCCTACTAAGAGCTACAAATTGGGCAGAGGGAGGGCAAAACTCCTTAACTTTACAGAAAAAGAGGAGAAGAAAAACTGATAACAGGTTCAGACCAATGAATCAGTTCTACAAGCTTAATATATAACCCAAGATAAAACGTAGTGTCAAGTGAAAGCCAAAAAACCCAACACCAATTTGTTGGGACACATTATTCGATAGTATAACCTGCCCAGGAGTCACTCGCCTGAAAGAAGTCTTGCCAAAGCTAGTCATGGATCAGCAATTTGAAATTTAAATACAACTTACGAAACAGTTGGAAACTTTATTAATCAAACATCGGGGAGAACAGGCAAGGTTATAAATAAACACAGTGTCATACAAACAAGAAGCTTCATCTCCTTTAACTGCCAAATATTATTTTGCTAAGTCAGTGACAGACAAGACTTTTGACTAACAGAAAAATCTAGGTTTCATACATGAAAAGAAGTTACAAGGTGGTTGCCTCCACTCTTACAGAAAAGCTTTTGTTCCAAAGATTTTCCCAGTTAGATGGTGAACGCCAGGTGTTTCACAGCGCTCATCACATCTTTCAACACAGGGCTCAACAAGCTTTTAAGTTTTCTTTACAGCACACCAATTTCCAGATTGTCTGCTAAATACTCAAAATAGATATTTACAACAAGCCTTATCCACCGGAAGGACTTCACGACATGAATAAAATACACACACCCCCACCCTGCTTTCATTTCCAGCCAGTTTGACACGTTTCATAAAACAAACACCTTTTTGCCATTATAAAACGATCCAGGAAGCCCTTTCAGGTTTAATCATCTCATGTAATCTTTCCATGTAATTGAGAATGTTTCCTCCTGGAGCCTGAGTGCTGGGAAGTCACAGTGCATCCTTCCTGCAGCAGATGCCGGCTGGTCAGCGTGCTGCCCTGGGCATTACACTACCTGCCACCTCTATTTTCTGCTTTGTTTCAGTCTTTGAGGTGCATTTGGACTAGGACACCTCCTGTTGGCATTTAAACTGGAATTATTTTCTTATCTTCCCCTTTTTTTAGGCAAGAGACAAAACAATTATTCTGAGTAATTATCCCTTGGTTGAAAGAAAGGCAGAGAGGATCTATATCCAGCACCTGAGACTACTTTTCAACACATTAAATCTCATTTTAGAGCTTCCAATATCAAATCAAGGCTGTAACAGGCACAAGAGAAAGTGTTGATTCAATACCAGTTCACCTTGCTAGTTCAGTTTTCTGAATTAATTTGATGAGTTGGCTTTGAAACAGCAAGCTCCAGATCAAATGAAGCTACTGTCTGTCCACATTAATTTTAAGTCAGATCAGCTAGGTTTGTCCCCCTGGCACCAGAAAGATCGCATGCTCCAGCTAATTCAGGAGAACTAGAGTTGTACAGATCCGGTGTCAGTCAATAACACTTGTCTGCCAATGAAGCCAGAACACCTACTAATGTCCTTACTACTTTTTTTTTTTTTTTTATATTAGCTCTAATAGGAGATGTTTTCTGATATGCTGGTGTTACACACATCTCCTCAGAGGCAGAACAGCCAGTTTCAACCCTGTGCTACCAGGAGCTGAGACCTTCACCTCCATCCCATAAGAAAAGCCTTGATGACTTTTCTGCCAAGTGACAGAAGCCAACTGCCCGTGAACCTCAAAAAAAGCACCTCTCTAGTCTGCACGCGCTATTTACTCACCAAAACACTTGTGCAAAGATAAGCTGGTGAGTGAACAAGAACGCTTTGATACTGTCTTCACAGGATTATTTATCCTCCCTCAATTCAAGACTGAGACATAAAAGTAATTCAGCCCAATGAAATGCTATGTCCAATAAAAATGCCAGAGGTCCTGTCTCAGGTACGTATAATGAACATACCCTGTAAAGCATCAGGTGAACACATGGAAGTTTTCAAAATCTCAATTTCAGCTGCCTGTTTCCAAGACACTGAAGGTCACCACTACAGGAACCAGTGAAAAGGAAGACTAGAAAGCCCAGTCTCTAAGGCAGAAATACATCTGACAGAGGACTCCCCTTCCTTATAAACTGTGTGTTCCTAACTCTGCTTAGCAGTACAAAAAAACCCTCAGTGCTTTGTCAGTTCACAGTTTAAGAGGTGGGTAAATACAGGAAACAATACAGATTGGGAGCCAGAGCTCTAAACTAAAACCCCTAAAATACAGGGATTTGATTCAGGAGGTGCTTTGATACCAAGATTAAACTCAGTGAATGCAATCACTGATTATAAAAGTACAGGTTCTTCTAATTGCAATGACTTAATTTCTCCTTATTGAAAAGATTCACCAGTCAGTGAAGTCTGAGACATTACGGTATTCTTTTGGTAACAGACTACGGATGCATGTTAGGTTTTAGCATTTACATAGCTAGTATAGATTTGAACATATTCTAGTTTTTAATACAAAGAAATGCCACTTTTCATTTGCCACGCTAATAGTTTGTTCTTGTCCGACGAGCTTCATTTGTATGGAAATTGAAATTTGATTAAATGCACAAACCCAGCATTTAATGTTATTTCAATTATAAGCTATTACTCTGAAAGGCATGTATTGGAAAAGATAAGCTTGTTGAAGTACACGGTTTAGTTTTGTACGTAAGCTTTTAACGAACAATGGCAGTTTTGTGTGTACCTCACGTGTGCTTCGCCCATTGTGGTCACATTTCTCAAGCCTGGATCTGGTAGATCCTCTGGCATCGATTTTATTTACAGACTGAAGGAAAACAGAAGACAAAAAAACCTTCCTGCTTTCTCAGCGCAAATCCCTCCTTACCCTAAACCAGATGAACACCCGTAAGAAAATATTCTGTTCAGATTTCAAGAGGCAATTACAGCTATCAAAAGCTGATTAAGCATTAACAAAAAACTTAACTACAGGTGCTTAGGCCAGTAACTCTTCTTATTCAGATTTTAACCTGTCCAACAGGTCTGTCTTATATTTTATAATACTAAATGTACATACTGCAGGCGTGTACCTACATGCTGCACTATCATTTCATATTTTAACACATTTAAGAATAAGTTTACTAAAACTGAAAACTGTTTTTTTCTTAAATCACCGTTTCTATATACCCTGTCCCACGCTAAACTGTACAAGCACCATCAGGTCCTAGCGTCTCCAGCAATAAGCCCAACCCCCTAAGCCCTTAGCTCCTGGAGATTTTACTCTGTACCAGTGCCCAATAAATGCCTGCAAACAAGCATCAGAAACAAACCAACAACAAAACACACACCACACCCTAACCGTCATCATCAAAAACACATACAGCTCCGTATCTAATATTTATGTTCGAGAGAAAGCAGAGCATAACCAATATATCTCCAGGCTCATATTTACTGAAGTAACAAAAATTTTGAAATATTATTAATGCTCCAAATACAACAATACCAC